TTATATAAATTTTGATATGATTGATATTTTTCAATTATAAATAAAAGTCAATTTGCATAATAAAAAATCAAGATAATTAAAAGGTAGTTAAAAGGGTAAAATAAAATGGTGATTAAAAGGTAGATAGAAGGTAATTAATAAAATGTAATTAAAGGTAGTTAAAAGATAATTGATAACAGAGCAAATTATTAGAAGGTCGGAATAACGATAGAAAGAATGTTTTCTGAGTAATCTTTGAATAAAAGAAAAAAAAAAAAATAATAAATAATAAAATAAAAAAAATAATTAAGAGAGAGTAGATAGAAATGTAAAATAGGCTTCGAACTATAGTATTACTAACGAATTTTCTCTCATACGTAAGGGGTCTTCGTTGTTCTGGGCTGAGTAACCAACTACTGTACATATAAATATATATATGAATAATAATAATAATCATCACAATAAATATATGAATTGAGTTACTATGATAACACGGTATAATATATCTAAATATTACTATGAAGACTTGCCGGTGGAGTTTAAATGGTTTGTCTATTTGTGTATTAGTAGTTACGGGAGTACTAGAGCCAAAGTGTCCCCATATGAAGTATATATGGTTCATATGTATAAAGGCTGTATAATATGATTATATTATGTATGTCACCCATATTGATACATATGGTTGCTCCGTTTGACTGATATGATGATATGAATAACTGAAATAGTGGAAATAAAAACAATCCCTCATAATACACACCCCATATACCACATATATAACAGACGAAAAAAAAATACCGTCGAGCCAAACCCCAACATACCTGTTTTTTGTTACTTTCAAACTTATTCAACTTGCTCTCATCATCTTACCAAACTTCTAGTACTTGTAAGAAATGAGATATAAATCTTTCACGATAATAATTGCAGTTATTTATAACCAGGTAGTTTTAATAGCCAACCATTATATGTACGAAGGATATCTAAGACTTTGTGAAGCTTAAAGGTTAGCACTACGTTTCTTGGTCACGTGACGTTTAGGTTGCCTGGTTCTGCGATAGAAAGTTATAGAGTGAGAGAACACAAATTCATTTAATTAAAAATAATTTAGCATTCGTACAACGAGGTGACGTCATTAATCGATGACGAAGTCAGAATACGAAAAGAACATTATAATATATACTTTAGGGTTTTCGGGACTATTCTTCCACCGTTCAGCGACAAGCTTGAAAGCAGCCTTATGCTCAAGACTTGGGTTTTCTGCTTTAACTTTTGGTAGTTCAGACTTCATAAAAGCGTTATAAGGAGAAAGTTTTCTTTTACCACCT